ATCATCAACGTTGAAAACAGCTTAATATTTTTGAGGAAACCATGTTACAAAAAAAGCATTTTTTTTTTTTTTTTTTTGCAAATGAAAATTGCAAATGTTTTACTGTCACTTTTGATCAATTGAACGCATCCTTCTTCCTGAAGAAAAGGATTAATTACTTTCAAAGAATAATAAAAAATGGTACCGTCACTAAACCTTTAAATCATAGTGTACATGCTTTTTTTGCCTTCTTGTAGTAGGGGGACAAAATATGTGGAATTCTGCAGAAAGCATAACATAGTAAAATGTGTTACAGTAGCTGAGAAGAGAGTACTAGAGCCAAATAGTTTCAAAATTATTTCATTTATTATTCACATCCCCATATATTTCATTTAGTAAATACTTTGTGATCTCCAGCTACCAAAAACATGCCTTCAAACCTTTGAATAGTCAAGAATCTCCAAACTAAAGTTAAATCCACACTGATTTAAATTCATCCAGGCAACTCTCACTTGTGCTCTGAGCAGTTGAGCAAATGAAAGGCCTCATCTGTTCTGGATATGTGTGACTGAAATAATGAAGGCGTCTTCTCAGAGTCTCTACAACTAGCGAGGAAGATTGTGAGATACTTTACACACTTTAAATGAGATATATAACACGGGGGGGTGGAACTTTCCCATACTTTCCTTGTCCTCGGGCCTAGCCATTGTGAAGTATGCTGTGACCTTTCACCCACTTTACTTAAACTCCCTGGTGCGATAATGATTGTGAAAAACGGTTGGTGGTGCTAGAGGATTTAGACATTTCATAACAATTTATGGTACATTAGGGTCTGCCATAGGCTTAGGTCACTTTAATCTGTCAATAAAAGCCTGCAGTGCTCAAAAATCCGACTAAAGGATGTTGAGAGGTAAAGATACGCAAACAATCTTACAACTCAAGCTTAAAGAGCAGTTCAGTGACTGAATTAAGTGACGACACCTTGTTTGCTAACATGCTGATAATACACTTATCACACTGATAAAGTTTTAGTTGTAACACTATTTTATCATACTTCAGGTCAAGTTTATGCACTTTATTTATACTTCATACTTATACTTACATACATATAGAGAGCCACTCAGATCAAACTTTAACTACAAGCCCAAAGTTCAGATGCTGATGTTTCATGACAATTTCAAACACAGAAAGGGATGTTGGGTAATAAATGTTCTAACTTATGGGATGATAACAATTTCTTTGACCTTGAGGGTTACCACATTGTTGCCTGAGAAATCTATACTGACAAACAGGAAATGCCTTATTTGTAAAACTTGGCAGGTACCTGCTCAGTGGTGTGATTATTGATAGTAATCCAGTTATTGCCATATTTTTAAAATATATAGAAATAAAAAAGATTTCAAAAAGAGCTCCATATTAATTTATAATCTACTGTATTGATATGGCATCAACTTTAGTACTATGGTTACCCTGGCAAATGTTTGTAATGCATGACTAATTGGCTGTAAAGTTGCATTAAATCAGATTAACGTGTTCATAAGGGAAATCAAATATAATGAGAGAAACGCGCGCAAGCACACTTAATCTCACCTGTGCAGGTCCAGCTCCAGATAAGGAAAGATGAGTTTCTCTTTTATGAGCTCCCATATTACCCTGGTCATCTCATCTCCTTGCATCTCGACCACAGAACCGGCTTTGATCTTCTGAGACATTTTGGACCCTGGAAGATTGATGACAGTTATATATGGAGGTGTTAGTACTTACTCCCTGAAGAATAAATAGATTCCATTGAGAAAAAAAGTTACACAACCAGTGAGTCAGCATTTTTGACTTAAACCTGTTTTAACAGACAGCATTTTTGAACAGGCAGCACCACGTGTTAGATTTAGAAGTCTCTAGCATGTAACAAAAAAAATTGTTTTTATGGGTTTTTATATGTTTTTTTTTTTTTTTTAATACTGCAGGTCTATGCTGTTCTTTTAAGTGCCTTGAAATAAAATGCAAGTACAGTTCAGTATGGTATTACTATCTCTGTACTAATGCCACAGCTTGTAAAAGATATCAGTTAGTTATTATTATTATGTTTCATGTATTTATTTTTCAGAATCAGATAAAGTAACAGCACCTGACAAACAGGCAGCCATTATGTAATATGACACTAGGCTTTTATCCACCACGAGAAGAGTGTATCAATGTATCACTATTATTATTTTTTGCAGTTGATACTGGTGTTGCATTAAGCAACTAGAACAAAGGTCAAATACAGGACTGATTAACACACATAACTTGATGTTTTAATAAATGAATCGTAATGATGCAATTTAGTCGAATCTGGGGGTTATTTTACGATTTGTCGTATAAAGTGATTAATGCAAAATAAACAATCCATTAAAAATGTAAACTATAGATGACCAGCGAGTTTGTAAAAAGGTATTTTCTGATGAATGCACCAGTGTTTTCTTCGATAATGCTCAGCATACCAGTCGCACTTTGCAGGAAACCTCCAATCAAACGACAACGACTGTAATGTGATTTAGGAAAAAACACAACCCATACGAAGCCTACCTTTTGTCTTGAGGTTTTACGGGAGAAAAATGAATAGATCTCTCTCTGATAGTTGATGTGTTATGGAAGCTTGAAAGGTTTCGGACTAGTCAAGGCGTTGTTTCGTATCAGCTGAGCGGATGGCATAGGCTCTCCCCTGCTCTGCACTCCTCAAACAGATAATCATCCACCAATCCAAGAGAATAAGGAACTAACTCAAACGACTAGCCCTTCCCTCATTATGAATCATATTTGGAGGCATGTTTCTGGACATTAGCTGTTTGAAGTGGTACAGACACCTGTCTTCCTTTAGGTGGCGCTATACAGCTCAAAAAAACAGAATCCTTCACTGAGCTGCAAAACCTAGCAAAAAATTACCTTTTATTTTGACATCATATATTGACATCCGCAAAAAAACGTTCCATTTTGACATTGGTATGTACCTGACTTCTCACTTTCACACTGAATTCTGACGTTTCATTTTCTAGAAGTTTTGGACAATATTTTAAACATAAATGCAAAACAATTACAACAACACCTCATCCTCTCTCATTTCCAGAAGGAATTGGTGATCTTAACAAAAAAGGCATTATCTTAAGGTGAATTTGATTTTGATTTGTATTTTTTTAACTACGTTTTAAGTTTTTGCAAGTTTTGGATTTCATTCAAGAAAAAAAAACAAACAAACAAAAAAACGTCAGATGCAGCGCGGAGAAAATACCACGTGACTACGGCGGCCGTCTTGTCAATATTTATTTTATTATTATTAATTAACATCGAACTGAAAACAAACAACAGTTGAAACGGAAAAATATGTTTAGACCCATCTGACAACTTCGAGATAATCAGGGCCACCAGCCCTGCCCATTTTGGACACACCATTTTAGACGACCCCCTTGCAATTCTACCCACTTTTATCATTCTATTAGCATGCTACCCGTCTATCTAGCAAATGTCTATTTTAAGGTATTGCGTTCTACTTAAAGGTAAATGCTGTTAAGTATGCAGTCATTTGGTGTAACATACACGCGTCATAAGAGTGCGTCTCAATTTTACCCCCCAAAGTAACAGAAAGCTGGAGCTTTCATGATATTCATATCCCAAATTGTTAATGATTTAGAAGCTGCCTTTACACAAAACAAATAGGTGAGATTTCTAGTAGTTATCATTAATCCTGCTAACTTTTAGCAGCAGGAAGATAATACAGGCAACTGAGGCAAGACAGATCCAGGTTCAGCCTACCCCCAAAACGCATTCTGTTTCTTGAGCAATCCATATTCTCAGTCCACCATCGCGAGCACGCTGCTCTCCATGTGAGAAACTGTAGCTATATCCACTGAGTTCGCGTGAGGAGCAGTAAAGGACAAGTCCATGAAAGAGCAGTAGTTTCCTGCCTGAGTGCAGTATTCATACTTACCGGCAGATGTCACAATTCCATTGTTTACAAGTCTCCAAGTGTATACTGTAAATGGCACAGGGGTTTTCTGTAGGCTATTTTAAATGACACGGAGCCCCAAATATGATCAGCCTTATGTGAGGAACCCCAATTCTAAAATGACTGGCTACATTTTCATAAAGACCATTTGATAATATCTTTTACAGTCTGTCTGTCGTCCTTTAGAATGTTTTGGGCTTATTGAATTTGAGTCTGCACTCTGAAGGCCAAGGAGACACATTTTACATTTGAGAGTTTGTTTTACCATAGAAGAGAAAAAGAAGAATGTTTTTGTTTGTGGTGAAGGATATAACGTTACAGTAAGATATGCAGTAGCCTATAAATAAACTTGCTATGATTACTACATGTTTTATTCTTCTCTTTATATTTTGAAATACAGTATTTCCACCTCAGTGGTGAGTTGTGAAATAGTTTTATTTTTTGCCTTTGTCAAATCACGTTAAATTTTTATATAATTTTACATAATAAAAACAGTTTAACTATGTGTTCAAGTGTTTTACTGTTACCTCTTTTACTGTTTTACTGTTACCTGTTTTTATGCAGATGATAAAAAAGGAGAAATGCTAAGATCTTAGAAGAAACGTTACATTTTGTACAATTTTAACAATTAAAAAAATGTGGTGTAACCATTTGAAAAGTACTAAAATGCTTGCCTTGCACATAACTTTATTATATTTCTAAAAACATTTTCAGACGTGGCTTTCAAGGTAAACAAATATATTGTAACTGAAAAAAATGTGCAATTCATGAGTTCAAAACGCGTTTTTGATTTGGCTTTACACATCTACATTTGCAAACATTTATTTTTAAATAATTCTCAAGTTTAAAAAAAAAAAAAATTAAATATCTTATAAATATCTAAATGTGTTTTGTTTTTCGACTATTTCATCTGAACACAGAACCCATAAATAATAAAAAGACAATGAGCTGGCACAAAGGTTCTAGCCTCCTCATCAGACTCTGCTCTGCTCACCACGTGACGTGACATCTGCTGGTTATAGCAACCAGAGAACGCCAGTAATATTGATGTAGAGAAAGGATCGTGGTAGTGGCACAGAGGAGTTCACACGGCATCAGTGCGCAGTCGCTTCACCAGTCGGAGCTCCGGTCTCCAGCGCTGCCGTTACGCACAGGTTCATCTCATTACCAAGCACCAGATTTACAAAGACAAATACGCGGATTTTCGCCCTCTTTATGACACGATGTAAGGCAGATATGTGGGCTTTCCGTTGAGGGATATGGTCACTGCTGAGCTGCCAAAGTGGAGCCGCGCGTATCACGGATCGGGGCGCTCCTGCAGGGTCTAGGATGCGCGCCCGGAACCTCCCGATTCTTACCTGGGTTCGGGTCTGACCAGGAGTCCACTACCTCTGTTGGGCGCAGAGGAGGGAGGAGGACGCAGTCGACCCGCAACAGGATGCCCGTGATGAGAGGTCTGCTGGCCCCGCAGAACACTTTCCTCGACACCATCGCCACCCGTTTCGATGGCACCCGTAAGTGCGCAGACAACTTACATTTCCTTCACCAAAGTGTCAAATGCAAATAATAATAGTTTTGTGCAAATTTAACATCCACCCCAAGTTATTTGCATCAGTGCGTAATGTGAAACAGTTGAAAGCTCTTATTGCGCGTGGAGTGCTCTCAATTGCACATTTCATGTACATTGTTGTGGGTTGCTGTCATGGCATCGACACCAGTCATTCGGACATACTACATTTATAACTATTTTAGACAACATTTTAGAATTATTATTCTTTTTTTTTTTTTTAGAATGTTATGCATGCAGTCTCATTAATTGCATTAAATATTTGTACTTTTAAAATTGGACACATTGCAGGACTATTTATGTAAACTGAAAAAAAGTTTATATATAAAAAAGATTTATTTGAAATATTCATAAAAGGTTTTGATTTAAAGTTAATGTACATGTTATTTGTCAGCTCGCCTTCGGCTGTTGTGCAACACAGAGCTCTGGGTAAAACTTGATTAAACTTAATCAATCTTAAAGAAAGGGATTTATACTTTCATTCCCTGTCTCGCTGCATGGGTTCTGGTTGCTGTATCTGCTTATTTTAGACATTCTGTGGAGTGATCTGTTCCCTGCATCCCTAGGACATTTTGTTTCATTTTCTTCTCAGTGTCTAAAATAATGACATAATCTGGAGAATAGATGCAATGTAATAGGATTTTTAAGAATACATTTGACTTGACTGGAAGGCTCATTGAGGGTGAAAGAGGTAAAAGATCCTTTAAAAATGGAAAACAGGTGCTTCTGTCACTACTCCACAACAGATTGTGACAAGCTAAACCTCAGAGAGTGAGTCTACAGACAAATTAGACAAAACTTGTTTAGTTTTTTTAGAACAGAAGGGATGAGTAACTAGTGTTGTCTGGATGAGCAGTGGGTGTGTAGGTGGATAGAGGGTCGCTAACATGCAGCTTCACGTCCAATATGATGCAACTGCCCAATGGTTGAGGTGATGTAGCTATTCTCAGTTCAGTGCAAGTTAAACTCAGTTGACAGCATTTGTGGCATGTTAATTTGCCACAAAAGAATTATTAATTTCCACAAATCCGTCTTTCTTCTTAGAGAGGCCAATCTGTAAATGAAGAGTTCAGATGCAAAAGCCTCTAAGTGCCATTTGAAATTTTCTTCTAAAATGATTATTTTTATGAAGCTTGTATATTTAAGTTCAGTAATTTCACTTAAATTGCAATGAAGATTACCTATTAATTGCCATTTAAGTGAAATTACTGAAGTTAAATATACAAGCTTGATAAAAATGACCATTCTAGAAGAGAATTTCAAATGGCATTTAGAGGCTTTTGCATCTGAACTCTTCAAATGCAAACATATGTGGTTTTAATAGCCACAAGACATAAACAATATTATGCATGTTGTTAACATCATTTTGGAGTGGAAAAAAAAAAAATGTCTTCTAACCTTTATATTTTACTTTGTTTCCATGACAATGAAACGTCATAAACCTGTAACCCAATAGACTGGCTAAAATGATTTAAACAATTTTACAGCTCAAAAAATAGACAAGTTTTAACAAAAATAATTAGTTTAGCAGTTTTTTTTTTAATTGTAAGCTTTCTATTTCTGCTATTAAATCCAAAAATGTCCATATTTACTTCCATTAAGGTCATTCATTCATTCTAAATAGGTTTTATTTCGAAGATCTGAATATAACTGGAAGGTTATAGGTTCAAATCGTTCAGTTTACATATCAACTAGCAATTTGTTAGGAGATATGCTTTTTATCATTAACTTATCCTGATAAAACAGATGCTTTAAAAGAAATCCATGACTGAAAATGAAAAATAGCAAATAGCAGGAAAACACCTTCCTTTGCTTGCGGTCAGAGCTGGTAAAGACAAAAACTCAGATTAATATCTGTCACTTTGTCACGTCGTACATGATTAGGATCAGCTGCATTTAAACTCAATGTGACGTGCACTATCAAAGGTTTTATTCTGCTGTTTGATGCCAGAGAAAAGGAGGGAAAAGAGCGAGGGGAGAGTTTTGTGTTGTTGGTGTGCTCCCATTTGAGAGGAGTTCAAAGACAGGGAATACTGGTAAACACTGGACTCCATTAATGCTGTGGGGCACCTCACATTCACACATCTAACAGGAAGTGATGGCTTCAGCCTATATCAGGTCAGATATTTTGAGTGTATACTGGGTGGATCAATCTTGAAATATGATAACTCTGAAAAATTCTGAATTGTCTATTTTATCCCGTGTTTGTTTTTTTTGTTTTTTTATTATTATTCTTTAGGCTATAGATTCAATTGAACACTGTTACTTTTTTTGTTCAAAATTATGTGAATTACATGCCTCTACAGGCCTTTGACATGTTAAATGTTAGAGGTCATGGCGTTTAAGAATACTATTTAACAATTAAAGAACACTCCCAATTACCCAAAGAGCTGTTGAAAGTGAGAGGATGTTACTTTTGTTTATGTATTTATAAATAAATGCAGTAGTCGTCATTATAAGTGGACCTAACCCTTTCATTAAAGTTATACATTAATATTGAACAAAACCCATTCTTGTCTTAGGACTTAACTTTTTATATCCCCTTCCAATGTTGACTACTACAGGTGAAACTAAAAAAAAAAAAAAAAAAAAAAATAGAATATCGTGCAAAAGTTTTATTTATTTCAGTAATTCAATTTAAAAGGTGTCAATAATGTGAAAACCTTTTCACAATATTCTAATTTTGAATTCATAAGCTTAAGCAACCCGGTCTCATCTTTTGAGCATACGTCAATATTCGCCTTTTTAGGGCCCCCTTAAACGTCGGTAGATGAGGTTATGGGATCCTAACTCTACCCCAGACCTAAACTTAACCCTAAACCTAACCCGTCATCTAACTGACGTTAAAGGTAAAGCGTCAGTTGTATGACGGCCCGGGATCGCCATCTACCGACGTTTAAGGGGGCCCTAAAAAGGCGGATATTGACGTATGGTCAAAAAACGTCCCAAGACGTCAGTTATATGACTTTTTGGGATGAGACTGTGTTAGCTTAAGCCATAATCATCAAAATTATAACAAATAAAGCCTTGAAATATCTCACTTTGCATGTAATGAGTCTATTATATATAGTTTTAACTTTTTAAGTTGAATCACTGAAATAAATTAACTTTGCATGATATTCTATTTTTTCGAGTTCCACCTTTAAATCAACAAACTGAATAAATTTCAGACCTGACAGGATGGGTTTCGCGAGAAATCATGTACATAACAACGACACTTGCCAGCGCTTTTCTCGTCAACTCCGGCCACTGTGTCGTATATATGTATTCAGAGCACAGGGTTGCATAAGTATATGTAGGTGTCACAACAGAAAAAGGTTGACATGGAGCAGATTAAATCTCAAGCCTCCGGGGAATCGACCGTTTCAAAAAGTCTGCTGGCAAAAAGAGAAGCGACAGAGCTCGAATAAAACGAGAATCAACATTGGGTTGGCTTTTTGGAGACGGCAAGAACTGAGGGATTAAAATGTTGTAAAAGTGACGCAGAGATGGCATTTTTTAACAAGTGAGTATGTAATTTTTATTCAAATTGCCATATGTAGGTCTTCAAAGGCTTTAAATATGTGTCAGTGCCATTGTTTAGTTTCAAGATGCAGACCAGTAATATTTTTTTCAAGGCATGTTTATAAAAGCTACTTAAATATCCCAACTGAACAAAGGCCTAATCCCGGTTTTCATCTAAAAACTAATTTTCATCTAAACTAATCTATAGGGTAGCCTAATTTCATTATGGTTGTTGTAGCTCTGTGCTGGAATTTATTTTCAAGGAAGTATGTATATTACCATCTATCAATAAGTATAGCTACAGTAACATCTTCAGATAGTCATCTAAATTGCTTATTAAATTGCTTAAAATAGTTGTGTAATTAAAAAAAAAAAATTGTACTAATTCATAGCTATTCAGCCACAGTTTGTGAAGAGCTTCAGATTCAGAGAGAAAATAATAAAGGGGGGGTTGATTCAGTCTTTGTCATCCATATTCAATCAAACATTAATTCAGAGCGTTCCGCACATTTCAGATAGAATAAATGCAGGCCTTTCCATTCAACATTCACACAGCTAATTACACACCCCCTAACAAAACGAGTGAAGTCATCATAATTAACTGCCTCTAGTGTCAAGAATTCATCTCGGCCTGTCTGAGCATTGTGAAATCTCCAACAAAACTGTTCAAAACATCAGAGTGATCCAAGAACTGACTTTAGATGCATAGTTAGTTACACACACACACACACACACAAATAATCTCTTGAAATCCTCAGTATATTCAAATGTATTCCTGATCTGTAGTCCTTGTTTTGAGAATAATATATAATTTTGGTATTTTTTTTCATGTTTGTGAAAGGTTTCACACCAAGGGTGCCTTTATTTGATTAAAACTAATAACATTTTAGCCTAATTTTTACAGTAATTATTGCAATTCAGCATAACTGCTTTACATTTTCAGATTATTTTTTTTATTTTGATTCTCAAACGCTTTTCAGAATACAACACAATATATCTGTAGAGAATCAACATTTTTACGCCGACTGCTTCCCTCCCCCCCCACCCCCTCAACAAATCCCCAATTACGTCTTGAGATCACAACTTGGCTGTATAATTAATTAAATACAGTTAAGATAACTTCCAGCATATAGTGGTAAGAAAAAGAAAATAATAATAATAATCATAATAAAATGATAATAAACACATTTCTATTTGTCACATGATCCTTCAGAAATCCTTATGTTGATTTGGTGCTATGTTGATTTCAAGTAAAAAGAACAACATTTACTTGAAATAGAAATCTTTTTGTAACATTTTAAATGTTTTTACTGTCACTTTTGATAAACGAATTGCTTTGCTGACTAAAAGTATAAAAACAATCTTACTTACCCCTAACCTTTATGTATTCAAAAATTCATTGCACGCAGCGGAGCAAATGACTATTCTTCCATTTTTGTTGTT